TTTTTTTCTAGCTAGGTGCTAGTTGCTCATGTCTGTAATCCTAGCTACTCAGAAGGCTGAGATTTGAAAATCTTGGTTTGAAGTGAGCCCAGGCAGAAAAGACCATGAGATTCTTAGCTCCCATTAGCCACCAAAAAACTGGAAGTGGGCTTGTGGCTCAAGTAATAGAATACCAGCCTTGAGCAAAAAAGCCAAGGAAGAAAGCAAGGTTCTGAGTTCAATTCCTATAACCAACACACTAAAAATTTTTAATTGATTAATTTAAATATAATACACACACACACACACACACACACACACAGGATGAACCAGTGCATCCCATCCTTAAATCCATGAGTAGTTTGAGCACACTGTGAGGGCAGCAGCAGGTGAGGTGAATACAGCATAGTGGTTAGCCAGCAGTTCTGTATCCGGATAGCCAAAGGCTGCCCAGTCCTTTGTTGCCTCAGACACAACCCCAAGAATCTCTATAACTTTTCTGAGCCCCCAAAGGGAAGAGAGCCTTGGACTCAGGGGCTGACATGAACCAGTCCCACTAGCATGTTGCACTGGCCAGGATGACTGTAATTTCTATTCTCTGACCCCTAGCAATTTCTGACACCAGCTCTTGTGGTAGTGAGGACTGAGACTAGTGATGTCCGTCAGAGATGAGGCATGCAGAATGGTGAAACTGGAGCGTGCTTTGGAATGGGAATGGAAGTGTGCTTTGGGTTTGTCATGTCAAAGGCCTCTCAGCTATTAGGAATTAAGTCTCTCCAGGGATGGTTTCAGACAGTCTTTCTTAACATAGGCTCTTTTGATCTTTTTTTTTCTTTTTCTGATAGAGCCTGAATTCAGGGCCCAAGGCACTATTTCTTAATTTTTTTGCTCAAGGCTTGGGACTCTGCCACTTGAATCACAGCTCAACTTTCAGTTTTTGGTGGTTAACTGGAGATAAGAGTCTCACAAACTTTCCTGCCTGGTCTGGCTTCAAACTGTGATCCTCAGATCTCAGCATCCTGAGTAGAGTGCTAGCCTTGAGCTAGAATTCTAGCCTTGAGCTGAAGAGCTGAGAGTCAGCGCCCAGGCCCAGAGTTCAGGCCCCACTCCCGACAAAAACAAACAAACAAACAAAAGTAGCAGAGTTACAGAAGCTAAAAGAGGTGGTTAGTCAGTATACAAGTCCTGTCTAGGGGCAAAGGTAGAACACTTTGGTGGTGGCTACAGTTTGGTTTTACAATTTACAAAAGCACAGTTACATTTACATTCCCAAATTATCCATTATTAATAAGCAGGAACTTCTAATTTCTATATAACTTAAATCAAATATTATATTTCATCTTTAAATTCCCTACTACATTATCTAAGGGCAAGAACATTATTTGTCTACCTAGGGAAGCTTTTTCTTTATGCAAACACAAAAATTTCTAGATGATAGACAATGAGAAAAAAAAGTATAATATTTCAGCAATAATCACTTGACCTACTCAAGCAGTCCTAAACAGTGCATGGTAATCATTAACTTAAGGCAATATACTTGGAAAAAGCTAAAGGAAGAAAAGGCCATTGTGGGGTGAATGAGCCCCGTGGGCTGCCTTTGTGCACACGTGTAGCTAGCAACACCTGACAAGAAGACCTTGGCCTCGAGTAAGCAGTGGATAGAACTGAGCAGAAAGCAGGGGCTTAGAACAATGGTAGAGGAGTTAAGTAGTCAGGAGCCATACTTGCCCCAAGCACTCCCAGCTGCCATACAAGAAGTCCCCCATACCAGGGAAAGCCCAGAGATGAACACAGTGGGAAAGCAAAGCAGTAGCCTAGAAAGTGTTACGTTGGTAAGGGAAGATTTTTCACCAGGGCCACAGTCAGCACAGGGTTGCCAGATGAAAACTAGAATATCACTTTACATTTAAATTTCAGATACACATGATCATGTGGCATAAAAAGCCATCTGAAGCCAGAGCTCCAAAGAGTTCATTGCTGACTATTAGGGCCACAGGTCAGCCTTCTGGACCTAGAGCATGAGAGTGAATCGGAAGGGGCAAAACTAGCCTTTTCCATCTACCTCACTTCCTTGTCCCTCAGACCCACCCTCCTGCTACCTGGATGGGGATGGAGGCTATGTGCTCCCTCTTGGGGGAAATATGGCTCCTCTAATAAACCTTTCTAATAAATCTTTCTCCTGTGCCTGGCTGCCTCTGTGGGGTCCCCTGGGATGGATGTGTCAGATTCTTTTATACTTGTGATCAGCTAGCCATGTTAGTTAGGGAGGTATGTCTTATGTTGAAGGAGTTAAAACAATAAACTGTATTTTACCAAGTGTGTTGTTTGTTAAAAAGAGAAATATTTATCAGTGGAGTTAAAAGGAATGTTAGTGGGAGCTTTCCACTGACCACATCAACCCCCTCCAGCTGTCCTCCTCCCAGCCAGAGGTGATGAGAAGAAATAAAAAAAGCCTTTGATAGGAGTTAGAGAATGGCCCCCTTTCTAACCTTGGTAATAAATTGTACTTAGAATGTGAGCCTAATTCCTTAACAAGGAGGAGCAACAGTTTGGATTGGGATAAAAAACAGCAAACTGCCCTACATGGTGTGCCTGTCTGTACCCTTTTGCAAAAAAGTAAAATGCCTTGAGGAAATCTCCAGTAACTCTTGTGTGTCTATTCATTTCAGACACCAGAGAGCCGTACATTTTCTAACACTAGCACGCCACGCAAGCTACTGACCTCCCTGAGAGCTGGCTTATTGAGGTGACACCCCTGCTGTCCCTACTTCCACACATTCCTTTTGGCTAAAGAGGGAGCAATGTGCCACTCCCCTTGGCCTTGATCATACTCCTCAGCAAGAGCCCCCAAAGGTTTAGATGATGCCTTTAATCTGACTCCTACTTTTTGTTTTGAAGGGGGAGCAGTACTAAGATTTCAACTCAGGACCTCACACTTACTAGGCATATATTCTATCACTGGAACTACAGCTCAACTCTTTCTGTTTTAGTTATTTGGGGGATGGGGTCTTGGATTTGTATTCTGGCTGGCCAGGCCCATGATCTTTCTACACCAGTTTCCATGTAGCTAGGATCACAGGCATGTCCCCCACACCCAACTATTCGTTGAAATTAGGTCTTGCTAACATTTTGCTCAGCTGCCATCAAACTGCAACACTCCTTACTGCCAGCTCCCAAGTAGCTGAGCTACCATATCTGGTGAGAGTCTCCCATTTTTTGACATGGATTCCCTGAAAAAGGCCTACATTTCTGTGTGACGTGGGAGGTAAGGGCCTGAAGAAGGAACATGATGAGAACAACTACTATAGAGCCACAGGAACATGGTTTGACCCCAGCTTAGTCACGCAGTGGCAAGGCGATCTCATGTAAATCACTTGTCATCCAAGACTCAATCTCCTACTCTGTAAAGGATGATATCTTAGAGACCAGAGCTGAGAGCTATAGGCAGAACACTGAAGAGATTGGTGGGTGCAAACACGCAAAAACAACAACAACAAAAACCAAAAGAAAACAAGCTATTATTTCCAAAACATGGAGCATCTGATCTGACTTGTTTCAGAAATGCAACTAGTGATGCCTGGATCAGCAATACCAGACATATGGAACCGATTATGCTGAGTTAGCCCATTCAACCCCTCACAGAGAAATATGAACACAGAGTATTTACTTAACCAAGGGTTTTCCTTCGCCTTCCCCTTTGTCAGCCTGCCAAGTGTTGCAAAGAGACTCTGAGGCAATGCTTTCTAGCCAAGGTCATGAAGCATCCGCCACCACTTTTCCCCGCTAGAGAAGGGGCGTCTAGGGTTGATTTCCCCCAAGACCCAGATGTGGCTATATAAGAAAGTCTCTTCTGAGAGTCTCAGAATCCAAGTTTAAAGCCTCCATCATGCCACTTCCAAACATATTCTCCAGACCACCAATACCTGCATTATTAACAAAAAACCATTCTTTTAAGGAAATAAGTATTTCCTTATAAAATATGACTACCTTTGAAAGACTAATCCCTTAGCAACAAATGGTTTGCTAAAATCTTTTTTTAAGTGACAGAGGGCAAAGAATTCTCTCCGAAAGCAGAAGACATATACTTTTCACTATTTTTCTCATTAAGTATACTTTAAAATGCAGTGTATTATATAAAAAAAATTTTAATGTCAAAAGATGTCATAGTCAAAACCAAAGAGACCCTGGGTGTTGGTAGCTCACACCTATAATCCTAGCTACTGGGAAAGTTGAGATTCAGAGAATTATGATTTAACTAGAGTCCTGGCAGAAAAGTTTGTTTATATTCTGTTTTCAACGTAACTAGCAGAAAGCCGGGCTGGAGGCATGGATCAAGTGGTAGAGCACTTTTTGAACAAGCAAGCTTGACGAGCTTGAGGTCCTGAATTCAAATCCTAGTACTGGCAAACAAATACACATATACAACCAAAGAGTCCAAAAAATAGCATGGTGGTTGCTAGGGCCTGGGTTCAGGGGATGGGAAAGCATTTAACAGAGGCAGAGTTTCAGTTTTATGTTCTGGAGGTTGACAGTGGTGACAATTGCACAACATTATGAAAGTATTTAAAACCAATGAAGTATACATTTAAACACAGTTAAGATGGTAAATTATTTGATGTTACATATACTTTACCTCAATTTTAAAAAAGAAAAGGAAAAGGAAAAGAAGCCTCTGAAAAGAAGGAACAGACTAGCGAAGGACCTTAAGAACCAAGAATTGTTTTCCCCCCATACATTCCAATCTTGGAACTGAAGAGGCTAGTAACCTAGAAAAGTGAATGAACAGCTCTCCAAAAGCCCAACAAAAAGTCTAAACAAAAGCCTACCCTCTCTAAAAGACCTAGGCAGGGGCAAACAGAAAACTTAAATAATAGACTGCTCTACTCCAGACAAGCAACCTAGAAGAATCAATGACCCCATCCCTACCCAGCACTGGCAGGATGTGGACCTTGGCTTGTAATCTTACCGGGATTTGCCACAACTGCCCCCCACTGGACAGTAACCACCAGGGTCAGACTAACCTAGCAAGGACCACCTCCACCTCCACCAGCATTGTCAGAGCAAAGAAGCAACCTTCTGTAGCCCAAGGGTGGAATCTGAGGCCTCAGAGAGTGAACACTTCCATTGTGAAGCAGCAGGTCTCACCACTAACTTCCCTTCCCTTACCGTCAATAGAGGCCTGGTGGGAAACTGTGGGACAGTAATGAAAAGTCCCTGCCCTACCCAGGAGGTGTCAGTGAGGCCTGCTAGGGAGATGGACTTCCTACTTTGCCTCCAACCAGCAGCAGGAGGGACCCTACAGACTCCCATGTCAGTGGAAGCTGAGTGAGTGATGCAGAGTTCTATCTCCAATGGGCAATCACAAGGCAGCATCCCTTCACCCCTTCTCCAGTTGGAGCAATTCAGAGGGGACAGGTGAAGATGCAGGTTTAAATTAGACCCAGAGTCTCGGAACACCCCAAATATTTAGATTTCACACACACAGACAAAAATCTCAAATCAAAAGAAATGGCAATATCAAGATGACAGAATTATTTGAAAATTAACTTTTCAAAGTTGTTAAGCTCTTGTAATTCTAGTTATTCAGGAAGTTAAAAGAGAACTGCAGTTCAAAGCCAGGTAGGGCAGAAAAGTTCACTAGACTCCATCTCTAATTAACAGCAAAAAGCTGGGCTGAAGGCGTAGCTCTAGTGATAGAGTGCCCACTGAGCAAGAAAGGCAAGCAAGTATGAGACACTGAGTGCAAACCCCAGTAGTGGTGGCTGCGGCGGCGGTGGCAGGAAGAAGAGAGGGAGGAGGAGGAAGAAGAGGAGGAGGAGGAGGAGGAGGAAAAGGAGGAAGAGGAGGAGGAGGGGAAGGAAGGAATGAAGGAAGGTAGAAAAGGAGGGAGGGAAAGAAAGAAAAGGAATAAGGGAAGGAAAAGAAAGGAAAGGAAACTATCAAAGACGTAATGATTTAAAAAAAAAAAAAGCAAAAACAAAAACAAAAATTGTCAAAGCCAGGCACTAGTGGCTCACACCTGTAATCCTAGCTACTCAGGAGGCTGAAATCTGAAAATTACAGTTCAAAGCCAGCCCAGACAGAGAAGTCCATGAGATTCCTACATCCAAAAAACTACTCAAAACCACTACCACCACCACCACCACCGACACACACACACACACACACACACACACACACACACAC